AATTCATCTTAACTGACTTTCTCCATTGCCATTGAAATTTCACCAACAGTGCAGCGAGCGCGAGATGCTTCAACAGCCAAACCAAGCAAATTTCCTTGCCCAGTTCTTGCACTTTCTTCGAGAGCTTTCAAAGCTGCTTCCGCACGATTCTTGTCACGGCTTTTCTTAATCTACGGAAAACAAGAACCCAAGATTGATTACAGAATTTCGCATCGAAAATCATATTACATACTTGTTCAAGCTTTTCGATTTGTGACGCTCGCACTTTGGTGTTATCGATGACAAGAACTTCAACTGGGTCTTCCTTCTCCAAACGGTACTTGTTCACACCCACAATTACTTCTGTAAAAATTGAGAAGCGAATTTCATTCGGAGAACAACGACTTGTGGAATCCCACCTTTTCCGGAATCAATAATAGTTTTGCGACGTGCAGCACATTCTTCAATCTTCATTCCACCATTCTTGATTTCTTGGGTGAGGGATTCCATCGCATATGAACCAGCCCACGGATCGATGATCTAACTAAAAAAAATTTTGAAAATATTGCAGTACTGACAATTATACGGTAACAAGCTCATACAGGTTTTACGAAATAAGTGCGAATATCTCTTCTGACTGGAGCATTTCACGAAAAAAATCTATTTGAGAATGACGAAGTTTTTACAGTGAAGGAACAGTTTCTCCAGCAATAAAATATTGTTCAAAAAAAAATTTACAGTATCAACGAAAAAAATTTAAAAAGTTGTTCAGTCAACCAAGCAATACAAGTCAAGTTTATTAAGTTCAACATATATATTTTGTTGAGACAGCATCGATTGCAGCAAAAAGTGTGATATTAGTTAAAACGAAATCCTATGACCAGCAACACTTATTTGGGTTGGAAGAATTGAAGGAGCAAAAAAGACAGCTTCTTCATTTGTGAAGTGAAAAAGAAGGGCATTTGTGAAGGGTTTTAAAGAAGAAGAAACAAATTCAAGCCTTCACAAATGCCCTTTGTTTCTTTGAAATTCTTTCTTTAAATTCATTAAAATTGAATCTTTGAGACATGCAATGCAATTCTTGACTAGTCCACTAATTAATGAGTAAAACAACCATGAGTAATACAATACAATTAGATGCTTGGTTCAAATGAAATGAAGTGGCTATATTACTTTCTGCTGCGGATGTCCATAACCAGGAGATGGCTGTGACGGAGGAGCATGCAGGAACGCCGGATTCACATGCAACGCACGAGGCCCATGCAATGAATGTGGTCCTGCAAGACAAAAAAATAAATAAACATGAGTATATGAGGAGGAACATTCACTGCACCAGAATGCAACGGGAGGAAACGGAACGGTGAAGACATTTCGACAGAAATATGGAAAATTGTGAGCAAATGTCAGGATGTACAAGCAGGGATCTTTTGCAACGCCGCTCAGAACCACTGATTTACCAGTAAGTTTTCGCTACACTGGTCACTTCACTTCACCTCTGAAGTTTCAAAAGAAAAAGGGCTTATGGTACAGACCACAGCACCCGGCTAGACCTCCCATCGAACTGGCGAGACCAGCAGCGCGGCCCCAGCACTGAATAGCGCGGCTACCAGAGGCCAGCCTTGGCGCTGATTGGCTGCGCGGAAATTTTCGAGTACGCATGTACTGGCGTCGACATCTGGTGGGCGAATGCACCCCTTGTTTGTCCTTGGGCGGGCGCCTATCGCCCACACAGATCACCAGCTTCAAGTCCTGTTGATTCCCACCTTGAGCGTCCCGTTATTTCCCAGTATACAATACAGCTTGCATACCACACCAAAAGGACCTTGAGCGTCCCTCAAACGCCGAAAATTATAAAATAATTATAAAATTTTGGCATGCATTTAGATCTGTTTTCAAAAATGAAATTATTTGATAATCACCTTAAAATGCTAAAGTGGGGATACATTAAATTGAAAATTTGTGTACTTCTTCTAAATGTATTCTTATATTCACTACACAAAGTACTATATAAGAGATATATATTCAATATTAAGATTGCAAATGAAGTATAGTTATTTTTAATTTCATCATGAAATGTCCATATGTGAGAAGGGATCCTTAGGGTTGCGTCATCTTTGGATGATTGCCGCCTTGTCTTTTCCTATGACCATCGCGTCATCTTTTGGATGACCACCGCGTCGTCTTTTAGATGGACGCCGCGTTGTCTTTTAGAGAAGCGTTTACTTTGGTCATCATGATGCCGCGTCATCCTGGTTATCTGTTGTATTTTTTGACTGTATTTTGTTTGACACCTGACATTGATTTTGTATATTTGCACCATTGTTTTTAATTTTAATTTTTTTAAATCAATAAAAATGTATACTCCACAGTGTACCCCCAGCTTGTTGGATTTAAAAATAAAATATTCAATTTAAAACACCATTGTTTTTAATTTCTTACTGAGGATGCATTTTTTGTTGTTGTGAATCTACCGTAGGATCTACCGCAGATCCTCCAATTAGGGAAGGGATCCTTAGGGTTGCGTCATCTTTGGATGATTGCCGCGTTGTCTTTTTGTATGACCACCGCGTTGTCTTTTAGATGGACGCCGCGTCGTCTTTTAGAGATGCGTTGACTTTGGTCATCATGACGCCGCGTCATCCTGGTTATCTGTTGTATTTTTTGACTGTATTTTTTTTGACACCTGACATTGATTTTGTATATTTGCACCATTGTTTTTAATTTTTTTTTAAATCAATAAAAATTTACTCCACAGTGTACCCCCAGCTTGTTGGATTTAAAAATAAAATATTCAATTTAAAACACCATTGTTTTTAATTTCTTACTGAGGATACATTTTTTGTTGTTGTGAATCTACCGTACCGCAGATCCTCCAATTGGGGAAGGGATCCTTAGGGTTGCGTCATCTTTGGATGATTGCCGCGTTGTCTTTTTGTATGACCGTCGCGTCATCTTTTGGATGACCACCGCGTTGTCTTTTAGATGCACCATTGTTTTTAATTTTTTTTTAAATCAATAAAAATGTACTCCACAGTGTACCCCCAGCTTGTTGGATTTAAAAATAAAATATTCAATTTAAAACACCATTGTTTTTAATTTCTTACTGAGGATACATTTTTTGTTGTTGTGAATCTACCGTACCGCAGATCCTCCAATTGGGGAAGGGATCCTTAGGGTTGCGTCATCTTTGGATGATTGCCGCGTTGTCTTTTTGTATGACCGTCGCGTCATCTTTTGGATGACCACCGCGTTGTCTTTTAGATGCACCATTGTTTTTAATTTTTTTTTAAATCAATAAAAATGTACTCCACAGTGTACCCCCAGCTTGTTGGATTTAAAAATAAAATATTCAATTTAAAACACCATTGTTTTTAATTTCTTACTGAGGATACATTTTTTGTTGTTGTGAATCTACCGTACCGCAGATCCTCCAATTGGGGAAGGGATCCTTAGGGTTGCGTCATCTTTGGATGATTGCCGCGTTGTCTTTTTGTATGACCGTCGCGTCATCTTTTGGATGACCACCGCGTTGTCTTTTAGATGCACCATTGTTTTTAATTTTTTTTTAAATCAATAAAAATGTACTCCACAGTGTACCCCCAGCTTGTTGGATTTAAAAATAAAATATTCAATTTAAAACACCATTGTTTTTAATTTCTTACTGAGGATACATTTTTTGTTGTTGTGAATCTACCGTACCGCAGATCCTCCAATTGGGGAAGGGATCCTTAGGGTTGCGTCATCTTTGGATGATTGCCGCGTTGTCTTTTTGTATGACCGTCGCGTCATCTTTTGGATGACCACCGCGTTGTCTTTTAGATGCACCATTGTTTTTAATTTTTTTTTAAATCAATAAAAATGTACTCCACAGTGTACCCCCAGCTTGTTGGATTTAAAAATAAAATATTCAATTTAAAACACCATTGTTTTTAATTTCTTACTGAGGATACATTTTTTGTTGTTGTGAATCTACCGTACCGCAGATCCTCCAATTGGGGAAGGGATCCTTAGGGTTGCGTCATCTTTGGATGATTGCTGCGTTGTCTTTTTGTATGACCGTCGCGTCATCTTTTGGATGACCACCGCGTTGTCTTTTAGATGCACCATTGTTTTTAATTTTTGTTTAAATCAATAAAAATGTACTCCACAGTGTACCCCCAGCTTGTTGGATTTAAAAATAAAATATTCAATATAAAACACCATTGTTTTTAATTTCTTACTGAGGATGCATTTTTTGTTGTTGTGAATCTACCGTACCGCAGATTCCCCCCAATTGGGGAAGGGATCCTTAGGGTTGCGTCATCTTTGGATGATTGCCGCGTTGTCTTTTCCTATGACCATCGCGTCATCTTTTGGATGATCACCGCGTCGTCTTTTAGATGGACGCCGCGTTGTCTTTTAGAGAAGCGTTTACTTTGGTAATCATGATGCCGCGTCATCCTGGTTATCTGTTGTATTTTTTGACTGTATTTTGTTTGACACCTGACATTTATTTTGGATATTTGCACCATTGTTTTTAATTTTTTTTTAAATCAATAAAAATTTACTCCACAGTGTACCCCCAGCTTGTTGGATTTAAAAATAAAATATTCAATTAAAAAAAATATTCAATTAAAATATTCAATTTAAGATGACCACCGCGTTGACTTTGGATGAATTACCGCGTTCACTTTGGATGACCCACGCGTCATCTTTGGATGATTGCCGCGTTGTATTTTTGTATGACCATCGCGTCATCTTTTGGAT